AACGACTGACTCGGTGTTTGTTGGGAGGGAGTGGCTGTTCCGCGCCATCGAAGAGAGACTGAAGGACACTGATGCGGCAGCGAGCCGGGGAGCAGTTGTCACTGGAAATGTGGGATTTGGGAAGACGGCCGTTATCTCGCGGCTGGTGGCACTTAGCTGCCATGGGACTCGCATGCGGCAGATAGCGTCCAACAGCCCTAACCCCTCCCCCAAAAGTAGGTTTCTTCCGTGAGTGCCTGTTGGGGTTATTGCACGGGTGGGTCAGAATGCTGGGTGCTTTTCTGCCTCGCGGCACTCGGGAAGCGCTGGTTTCCCCCGGCGAGGAAGGGAAACCCCTGCAGTGGTGGGCACTGACCACAGCTCCCACGCACCGTGCCGTGGGCTCAGCCCGCTGGCAGGGACGGCGGAATGGGGACGGCGTGCAGTCTCTTCCCTCTCTTGGGCAGCGCATGCCTCCAGCTCTGGTCCTGTGGCCGGAGCAGCTTCTCCGCTCAGGTCGGAGCGGCACGTGACAGGTTCTTCCCCACTGGGCACCGCACACTTTTCACTGCCACGCGTTTTCCATGGCGTGTCGGCAGAGGCAAGAGCAAAGCTGTGGAGACGCTCGTGCCGTCTTCTACAGGGATCCGTAGGATTCTGTCGACCGGTCCAGTCCCTGCGTTAACGGGAAGGCTGCTGTGCCTGCCGTTACTGCTGCCTCCCCCACTGATACATCACATATCGATGGTGATAAGTTGTGTGTTTCCCAAGGGTTCGGTCACAGAGTGACTGGTAGTTCAAGTAAGTCATCGCACACGTGGTTTTGTGGAAATTCTTCCCGTCAGCATGGTTTGGCTTTCAGTAATTCTGTGCTTCTGATCCAACAGTCACTGAAGTGTTTTCAGCTGGAAAAGTTGCAAATCTCTGCCTGTATTTATCAGGCGAGCTGCAGGCGCCTTGTAAACCGCTGCTCGGTGTCCGTTGGCACTCTGCCAGCAGAGCTGCGCCACGAGGTTGTCCTTCCTGTAGCACGACCTGCTGTCAGCAAACTGGGTCTCGTTTTTATTGCTTTTTAAAAACAGGTGGCGACTCCTGTCAGGAGATTCCCTTAAGTCAGTTGCCTCCGTCCGCTCCCCCAGCCAGCACTGCCGGCACGCTGAAGACTCCGGATTGCGCCGCTGGTCCTGAATCCCGAAAGGAAGCAGGTGACTCCGTGAGCCGCCTTGCTTCCAAGGTGAGTTTGCACTTCCTGATGAATTGTCAGTATCCTAGAAAACCTCTAGCCGGGGGGACAGTCGCTGTGCAAAGGCTCTGGGAGTACCCGTGGGCAGTGATGGGAGAAGAAGCCTTGGACTTTCCAACCTCAGCTGCCCCTGGAAGGTGTGTCCGCCCGTGACTGGTGGGAGCCGGCACCTTCCTGCTGCCCCTGGGGTTATCCCTTGAATTCTGCCTGGTCTCGGCCAGAGTTCCGTTACAGACCCCCCGTCCCATTTCTGTGTCAGGGGGGTTGGGGTCCTTTCCCTGCAGAAGGTGCTGTGTGCTCTCTCCAGGTGCTCGGTCGTACCTTCCAAAGCAAAACGTGGGAAAGAAAGGGAGATGCTTGGAGTGTGCGTAATCCATCTGTATTCTGTGATGCAGGTGGAGTCGGCATGCGGTCTCCTCTCCGTGCTCTGAGAGGCTGAGCAATTAGAAGCTACCTTTGTGTTAGATGATTACGATAAGTGTTCTGTTGTTTGCCTGAGTAGTAAAACCAATTAATGTCTTAATTGCATACTTTATGCGAAGGGTTGTGAGGAAAACATGGGGCCTTGCCGCGGTCTGCGGGGCTCTGTCTACTCTGGGCACCACGTTACGAAAGCCACCGAAGTGCCGACTCCATTTGCTGTCAGCACCCTGTTTTCCTTGTGGCTTGACTTTTTTCCCGAAGAGCCATGGCCCACCTTATCGCTGAAGTGAGACACACCTCTGTGATAATGGGAACGAAGCCAGCTGCCCTCTTTCTCTGTGGGCTGTAGGAGGATGTCTGGCGTTTGCTTTGGCCTGATGATGGTCACGTTATTCCTTGGCTCGTTGCTCTTGAGCTGTAGCTAACACCTCACTTGGTCGGAGCCTCAAGTTATTTTTCCTGTGCTGCTTAGTTCCTTTGCTGTTTACCCCCGTATCCAAATGGCAGCAGCCCAGATTGCCACGTTTTCCTGCCAGAATTTACACTTGCATTTCTTCTCCTCTTTGCCTGCCCTACAAGGTCAAATTAATCCTTCCTGCCTCGCTGACACAGGCCATCTGAGACCAGGTGTGGGCTTGGATAATTATTCTGATGCTGAAAAGTATTTTCCAGTTGAAAGAGAAATTTGGTAACACGTGACCGTAGTTGAACTAACTAACCTACCGCCTGGACTACCTAACCAACCGCCTTACAGACTGAAGGGGCAACACTTGTCTTCTGTCGTTCTCCAGGTCGTTGCTTACCACTACTGTCAAGCTGACAACACGTACACGTGTCTCGTCCCGGAGTTCGTGCACAGCGTTGCCGCGTTACTCTGTCGTTCTCATCAGTTGGCAGCGTACAGGGATCTCCTCGTCAGAGAGCCTCACTTGCAGAGCATGCTTAGCCTGAGATCCTGCGTCCAGGAGCCAGCAGCAGCTTTTCAGAGGGGAGTGCTGGAACCGCTGTCACACCTCAGGAAAGGTAGCCTGTCTGTTGCCTGTCAGCAAGTACCTGTGAAAGCCATTGGAAAATCTGGGATTTTCAGCCTTAGGAAGTGCTCAAAATGACTCTTCCTGGTTTCTGAACCTGTTGCCAAATAACCTTTTCTCCTCGGAGCTGCAAGTGTAAGCCGGTGCCTTTCTGACTTGCGCACACTGCACGTTTGTTTGTTTGTTTCTTTGGTAAGCCCAGCAGAGGATGGGATCTAAGTAAATGGCTACGAACTAAAGCAGTGGTAACTCGTAGCTTAAACAGCCTACATATGGCTCCTCCCACGCCCCTGCTTCTCTCCTTCCTGACGCGTGAACAGCCTTGTTCAATCCCTCCACTCTCAAAACCAGCAGCGAAACAGACCCAGAGCAGTAGTGCGGTAGAAACCGCTCCTGCAACTGGCCGCTGGAGCCTTGGACGGCAGCGTGGTCTTAGGGCTCCTGACCCTGGTTTTGATCTCCTAAAGAATGCTTAAATGCCATCAGAGGTACTGCTGCGCAGGAAGATACGCTTTTATTTCTTGGTGGTCAAAATCTGGGGATAAAGATACGTCACTTACAGATGAATACAAATTCTCCTCTTCCCTCTTCTGTTGTCACTTTCCAGAGCGGAAGATTCCTGAGGAAGACTACATCATTCTGATAGATGGTTTAAATGAGGCTGAATTTCATAAGCCCGATTACGGTGACACGCTGTCTTCGTTTATCACAAGCATCATTTCGAAGTTTCCATCCTGGCTGAAGCTCATTGTGACTGTAAGAACAAACTTCCAGGTAACACTCCTCTGAGGATTTTCTTCCCCTCGGGACCAAGTGATCTCTTCTCTCGCGTTACTGGATTTTAGAGGAGTCCGAATCTCTGGGGTGCCTTTTCTTCCGTCCTTGGTTGTTGCGTGTTCTGTACAGAGCACGGGCCTGACGTCGGAGGCCCGTGTGTTCTGAGTCGGCGCCTGGAGCAAGCGCGTAGTGTGGGTAATACAAGTGGTGCAGTCGGAGCCGGGGAGGGAGGAACCAGGAGGAACCGGGAGGAACCAGCAGCCCCGCCCCGAGCCTGGTGTCAGCGCAGGAGTTGGGGGGTTTGGTCGTGGGTCGGTTTGCCGGACACCAGGCCCTTTGCCATCTCGGGGGCGCAGGGGTCTTTGTGCAGAGCTTATTAAAGAGCTTTGGACTGGATTTGAGGGGGGAAGGGACAAAGCCAGGCTCGCTGGAGACAGGCCTGGGGGCGGCACACCAGTGTGTCCCTGAGCCTTGGGGCTGCTGTCTCAGTGGAGGGGGGGACGCAGACCCGCGTGGCGGCAGACTCAAGGGCTACTGACGTGCGAGAAACCGTGGAAGCGCCTGGGGGTGATCACGTAGGAATAGGGGCGTCTCCCCCCAGAAAGGTGGCGGGATCTGTAGCCCAACTGAAGTGCATCCGCACCAAAGCGTGCGGCGTGGGCAGCCAACAGGAGGAGCTGGAAGGCACTGCCCAGCAGGAAATCTGATAGAGCTGCCGTCACGGCCACGTGGGGGGGCGGCTGGCCCCGCGGGGCTATAAACTCTTCAGAAGGGATAAGCGAGTAAAGTGAGGCAGTGGGGTAGCCCTGTAGGTTAGGGAGGGTTTTAATTGTCTAAAGATTGATGATGGTGACGATAGGGTTGAGTGTTTGTGGGTAAGAATCAGGGGGAGGCCAACAGGGCAGATCTCATGGTGGGGGCTGTTACAGACCCCCAAAACCAGGATGACCAGGCAGCAAGACACTCTGTAAGCGACTGGGAGAAGTCTCACACTCCCTAGTTCTTCTTGTTGTGGGGGTCTTCAACCGACCAGAAGTGTGCTGGGATACAACAGGGCAGAGAAGGACGGGGCAGGGGGTGTCTGGAGCGGGTGGAAGAGAACCTTCTGCCACGGCAATGAGCAGCCAGCCAGGGATGGAGCTGCTGCCTGGGAACAGTGAAGGACTGGTGGGACATGACGGTTGGAGACCGTCTGGGGTGTGCTGATCACCAAATAATGGAGTTTTGCATCCTTGGAGAAGCAAGGAGGGGGTGAGCCGTGCAGCCGCCTTGAGGTTCCTGAGGGCTGACTTTGGCCTGTTTCGGAGCCCGGTTGGCAGAGTCCCTGGTGAAACAGTCCTGAAGGGCAAAGGAGCCCAGGAAGGCCGGGCATTCTTCCGGAAGGAAATCCTTAGCGCACAGGAGTGGGCTGTCCCCATGTGCTGGGAGATGAGTGGCAGGGAAGAAGATGGGCCTGGCTGAGCTTTGGCTGGAACTCAGGGAAAAAGGAGAGTTTGGGAGCTCTGGAAGAAGGGGCAGGCAGGTCAGGAGGACAGGGATGCTGTGAGGTCGCAGGGAGGAGTTCAGAAGGGCCAGAGCCCAGCTGGAACGTCTTCTGCTGCTGGTGTGAAAGGCAACAAGGGTGTTTCTGTAAATACATGAGCTACGAACAGAGGGGTAAGGAGAGTCTTCGTCGCTGACTCGGTGTGGGGGGAACACAGGGGCAGGGGATGAGGAAAAGGCTGAGGTACTTGGTGCCTAGTGTAGAAATACTCTTCTGCCTCTTACCAGGGCACAGCAGGGGCAGCGCCATCGCAGAGAATTTCTCTTTAATCTCGCTGGTGCTCATTATGGGAGAGAGGCAGCAAAGATGCACTGCGGAGTTTTCAGTGGGTAATACTGTAAATACTGTAATGCCTCTCTGGGTTTTTTCTTTCTCTGTTTTTCCCCTCTCCCCCTCACAGGAAGTAGTAAGTTCACTGCCCTTTGTCACAATATCCCTGGACAGTTTTCCAGACAACAAAGAAATTCATGATGACTTGAATGCGTATATTCAGTACAGGATTAATAACAGCCAGGAAATTATAAACAACATATCTTTAAATGGAAAAGCTGATGCAGCTATTATTGGGAAAGTGAGTAACCACCTGATCACGAGAAGCCTGGGATCTTATCTCTATCTGAAACTCACTCTGGATCTTTTCCAAAAAGGTCACTTAGTAATCAAAAGTGCGAGCTACAAGGTTGTTCCCGTCTCTCTGTCAGAACTGTACTTACTGCAGTGCAACATGAAGTTCATGACAAACTCCGCCTTTGAGCGGGCCCTGCCAATACTCAACGTGGCGCTGGCATCCCTCCATCCCATGACGGATGACCAGATCTTCCAGGCTATTAACGCAGGCCAGATACATGGTGAACAAGAGTGGGAAGACTTCAGCCAAAGGATGGAAGCCCTTTCGTGTTTTCTGGTAAAGAGACGTGACAAAACACGCATGTTCTGCCACCCTTCCTTCAGGGAATGGCTTGTTTGGAGAGCCGACGGAGAAAATACGGACTTCCTGTGTGAGCCAAGGTGAGCGAACCTGCGGGAGGCTCTCTTCCAATAGCTGCAGGTAGGGCTCATACAGCTGGCTGCAGCAGTTGGTGGGAGGAGAGAGTAAGGCCACAACACAGGCGCCCCGGCTGTTTCCAGAATGAAAACCTCTGTGTCCTTAGAGGTAGACTGGACGTGCAGTGTCAGAGGTCACGAGGCGTAACTGACCTTGTAGAGCTTGCAGACCTGCACTTGACTTTGCTGCCTTCACGGGGCAGTGAGAGGATGACGTTAATGTGGCATGTTGTTCATGTCGTGAGCCGTGGTCAGCAACGCTTGCCCTGTTCTGAGTGCAGGAAGAGAGAGAACAGATCATACCGAGACATTCAGTCCTGTAGAAGTATCCTCATGGCGTTGTTCCTTCCCACCCCCTTGGCCTCGGCAAGAAGTACTGGATCGGAGACAGTAACGCTTACTGGCTATGCACATCCTCGCAGTCAGCATCTCCCGCTCCCTTCCTGTTCTTCGGGGTTCTGGGGGGTTGGGCTTGCAAGAGGACAAACGATGGTGACGTGCAGTTATTGCCGACACAGGGCTGCTTGGCGCCTCCGAGTGGGGGTCTCAAAGCCAGCTCAGGGGGTGGAATTCGCAGGGCAGCAGGCTGGTTGGGTGCTGCCCTTCCAGCGTTGGTAGCTGCTCCCTGCGCCCGTGCGATTCCGGACACGCAGGGCCAATGGCTGCCTGTCGCCTCGGCTTTGGACGTTCTGTGCAGAAATCCCTGAAGATGGGGCGAGAAGCCCCCCACAGCCTCGTCCCCCAATGATTAGTCTAATTAGCATACGCTTCCTTGGCCAGCTCCTGTATAGTCTGATTGACGAGTGGGGGTGACTGCCTTTGCCCAGGGTGAGCCCACTTCCACTGTTCCCGAGAACTCTGACCGCTGACGATGTGCACGTGGGGTTACTACGTACACGTTTCCTCCCGGAGTTCGCAGCAGTGGAACTGGCCTCACCCTGCGAAGACGCGGTTATCGCACAGTCGCCTCGATCCGGTCCCTGCCGTTCCAGACTGTGAGGTGGCAGAAGGGAGCAGTATGGAAATGGGTGTCCGGAGCTGCGCTGGCTCCGACACGGCCTCCTGTGAGGTGACAGAAATACCAGGAGAGTGTTTCCCCTTGGAAATCTGCCGTTTTCTTTAGACCCCTTTGTTATAGAAGGGATTTTGTGGAGACGTAGTGGTGCGTTTCCGTCGGCTGCCAAGGGAGGGTGAGCTGCTCCGACAGGCACGCAGGCGGGAAGGGCATTCGCTGCACGTGCGGTTACAAAAGCCACTCTCTTAATCCTCTGTAGGAATGGACACGCTCTGCTGGCCTTCATGTTTTCTCGACAAGAGGGGAAGTTAAACCGCCAGCAGACTATGGAACTTGGCCATCATATACTGAAAGCTCACATCTTTAAGGTAAAGCTTACACCCTTCGTAGGCTTTGTGACCCCTTTGGATGGATGTGTCCGAGAGAGTCTCCTCTGAGGTGCTTTAACGATTCGTTAGAAGCTTATGCAAGATTCTCAGTAATGCGAACAGACAAAACTGCTCCTTCTCTTCACGCTGGTGAGATGGAGGTAGAAACTCAGAGCTTTCCTGTTGTTTCTGTTAGGGTCTCAGTAAAAGGACTGGGGTTTCTTCCAGTCATCTCCAAGCCCTGTGGGTTGGTTATAGCACTGACGGACTGTCTGCAGCCCTCGCTTCTCTGAGGAACATCTACACGCCCAATGTGAAGGTAAGAGAACGAGCCCTCGCGTACGGGGCTTCATCTGCCGCTGTCACTGGTGTGAGCGTGGAGATTAATGCACGAAGGCGGCCGCTGCCGTGCACCCGTAATGGAACCCCGTGGTAAGAGCCCTTCATGTACCTCATAAAGGTGCTGTTAGAGCCCAGCTCAGTTTTCCTTGGTAGTTCTGACAGGAGGAGGGGTTTCACTCCACTTCGGGTGTCACTGTGCTCTGTAGCATCGATAAGTGTGCAGATGGGTTTTTGGGGGCGAGGTGTACCGCCTGATTCAGAGTTCAGAGTACGGGGAAGTCTCCAGGGAATTGGAAAGGGAAAATACTGTGAGAGTGAACGGATGTAAACCACCAGAACTTTGCCCTGTTATTTCAATCCCTGAATTATGGGCAGGGAAATCCAAGTTGGCAAGTTGCAACTTCAACCAAATGCTAAGACTTGGGATTGGAAATTTGGCTGTGCACGCGCACACACGCACAGGCTCTTGCCGTTTCTTTGGGATGGCTTTTTACGGAGTCTGTTACGTGAATCTGCAGAGTAATGGCCAGTCAGACCTTCCGAAGTGCTACCGGTACAACGGATGGAGTTGGGGTGAGAGGAGTGGGTTTCGGGGGAGGGGTGAGTTGTACTGGGGGTAGGTGGTTCAGTAGTACAATAACGGGTTTGATAACAGGTGATTTTAAACTTCCACATCGCTATATATGTGATAAAGTCAGTGTCTGGCAACAAAATATGCATCAAAATTAAGGAGTAACATATGAGTACCTGAGTCAGGATGTCAAAGTCTCTTAACAAATTCAGACAAACCTGAGGAAACATGTACTGTGTTTAAATGAACTTTTTAGGTGAGTCGGCTGCTGATCCTGGCAGGAGCAAACGTGAATTACAGGACTGAAGTACTAAATAATGCTCCAGTGCTGTGTGTTCAGTCACACCTTGGGCATGAAGAAATGGTCACTCTTTTACTAGAGTTTGGAGCTGCTATTGATGGACCCTCAGAAAGCGGGATGACAGCCCTCAGTTACGCAGCTGCTGCGGGCCACATGAACATCGTCTCACTGCTGTGCAGAAAAGGTGCCAAGGTGAGCTGGTGCACAGATTGCAACGTTTGCGACCAGGAAGATCATGCCAAGGCTTAAGAAAACTGTTGTGGATTCTATAATTAACACACACAGACTTGGGGACGGGGAGTCCCCAGAGGCGTTTTCCCTGTGCCGCTGAGCACAACCCTCCGGGCAGTTGAGGCAGGTTTGGGTCCAGCCCACTGCGCACTCACGGAGCCTGGGCTCACCAGCCTGTCCGTGACGGTGCTAGGGCAGACCGTGTCAGAAACCTTGCTAAAGCCAAGGTAGACAGCATCCCCAGTTCCTCCTGCCAAGCCACTCGCCTCAGTGGAGGAAGCTGTCGGGGTGAAGCAATTCCCCCTTTGTAAGCCCGTGCTGACGACTCCCGATCACCTTGTCCTTCCCGGGTTCCTAAGTGGTGTGCAGGATTAGTTCCTCCGTCACCTTCCCAGCACCCAAGGTGTGGCTGTTTGGCCTTTGGTGCCCCAGGTCCTCCTTCTTGCCCTGCTAGAAGACAGGAGTGACCTTGCTGTCCTGTGGTGCCTGGGTGGGAGGTTCTCCCGGCCTTTGCCAGGCTTTCCAGCTTCTGACATTCGTTTTCCAACGCAGGCTGACTGCGTCGACAAGAAGGGCCAGTGTGCTGTGGTCCACAGCGCACTGCGAGGGCACTGCCATGTCCTGGAGTACTTGCTCAGTGTGGTTTGGAGAACGCCTTCCCAAGAGCAGAATTCACCAAGGAGGAGCCAGGCGCTGCAGCAGGCGCTGACCGCGGCTTCCAGCATGGGACACCGCCAGGTAGGGCCGTCGCTGGGGCGGTGCCACGCACTTTGAGTTCACCAGAGTGGTGTAACGGTGCTGTTTGCAGAAGAGGGCTGGGCAGTAGAAACTGAAACTGAAACTTCTGGCAGTTGAAGTAGGATGCGTTCTTAGCATCTGCCTGCAGCGCTGTACTGGGTTATCCAATAATATAGTTTCCTTCAGGATTTATTGATGTGTAATTTCCTGTCTACCTTTTCGCGCTGGGGTTGGAAGTCGTCCTCGGTCTCTAGTGGTTCTGATGGTGTTCTGTATCCGTGATCCGCCCCTGACGTTTGTGCTTGGGGTTGATGTTTTCTGCATGGTATAACAAGCTGTGTAGGGCTCATCCCTGCACACGCGTGGCTGCAGCCGGATGCACGTGTCAGGTTGGCGACTCCGCCTCGCTTCAGCCAGGAACGGGGCCGTGCGTGTCTGGTACAGGAGGTGCTGGCCAGTGTTAGGGTATTGTTCCGTGCACAACACTGAGGAATACTCAAAATCCTTGAGCTGTGTAGACAGTGGAAGTGTCTCTTCTGTTCATTGGGAAGAGAGATCTTAACCTTGATAGAAAAGTGGCCAGTCACAACGCTGGAATAGCAATCACACGGGGCTGATGGAATCTCCTGTGTGTGTTACAAGCCATGTGCCAGAAGTAGAAACTTAAAATCTCTTCAGTAAGAGCTTTAAAATATTTCCTTCTTTAAATCTATTTTCGTTGATATGAGATCAAGAAGCTGCTCTTTAAAGCTGTTTCCATGATTCAAGCGTAGAAATGCCTGTGCAGTTAATTTATTACATGAGATTTAAGCCACGCCTGGATCACAGTACAGATTTGAGGATTCTGAACTGTGATTAACTTGACTGAATGGACAGTTCCCTCGCTCGCCTTGCTCGTTTGCTGCCCACCGATGAAATGAAAGCAGTCAGCTCCTGACTACCAGCAAACGAGATCCCATTGGTCACAGGTATTGCTCCTACCTGAAAAAGTCCGTCTCTCTGGTTTTAGGACAAGGCCTGGCTGTTACCTGCCTTGAAAATAAATTACATTTTAGCATTTGAATGTTTGGATTTTCCATCTATTGCGTACAAAACATCTGGAGCTCCCTGCACTTACCCACATGCTGTCTCCTTCCCTCCCGTTGCTTTTGCCCACTTAGGGAATTTGTTCAAAGTAGCCAACAGAAGAGGTTCTAATTTAATCATCTTTTAGGAGCAGGTGGTTACAAAACCTAACTCCCGTAATAAGACAGACCCTCAGGGAAGGTATCACTTGTCTCAGGCTCAGAAACTCGCCCTGGCCAGTGCACGCTCGGAGCTGTGAAGGTGCTCTGAGAAGCAGCAGAGCGGGCGGTGGAAGAGGAACCCACGGGCTGCCCGTTGAACAAGCTGCGTGCAAGTAGTCCCTGCTGCCGCGTTGGCCTAGACAAAGGGAGTTTCCTCGCTGAACTGGGCGGCCTTCTTTCTACTTCTGGCACTGTTTGTCGTGATTGTCCTGAGTTCATTAAATCCTGATCATGTAAAACACCCTGGCCCACGTAGCAGAAAGGCACGGAGCAGTTTGTACCTGCTTTCAATAGCACTCAGTTGCCTTAAAGTGGTGCTGAAAGTCATCCTGGGCTTGCTGAGGGGGGCGATGGGCAGCGCTGGTTTTCCTCGCCCGTGTGCGAGGGCCGCGCGCGGTCACCCCGTCCCCGCCGGGGCTGGTGCTTCTGCCGCTCACGCTGCCTCTGCTGCTGGATTTGCAGGTAGTTTGGCACATCTTGACAACGGAGACGGAGCGTGAAGTCGACGTCAATGACACCGATGCCCTGTGGGGGGAAACAGGTACTTCCTTTTGCCATTTGCCCTGCTTGGTTCAGTTAAGAAGTAACAGGTCTTAATTTGTTTTTTTTTTAATTTAATTTCCTGTGATAAAAGTCCTGGGAAAATACCAGGTTTGGTTTTTAAACAAAACGCAGTTTCTAAGCAGAAGGACGGAGTTTTTACCTTACTGAATGTTCTGTTCCTGTGTGGAGCAGAAGAGTTCAATTCAGATTGCTGGAGATGGCTGCCCTCCTGGTTGAACAGAAGATGAGCCGCGGGCATGTGGCACTTCAGGCTTTGGTGGAGAATTTCTGTGAGGACTTTTGGGTTTAAATCTCATCTGTCTGTACGAAGTGCTAAGCACTTCCTCCCTTTGCTCTGACGAGGCAGTGGGTGGAAAGACATGCCTTTGTACGCCTGGGAAGTGCCAGACACGTTGTTAAAGACGCGGTGCGCAGCCCGCGTTGTCCCGTTTTACCGGAGGAGTGACATCTGCACTCCACTAAACAGCTGAGGTTGCCGGAGGCTGGCTCCCACCTCCCTCTGCGGTGCCTGTCAGGAGCCTCCTCACGTGCCGGAGAGGCAACTGTTCTTTATGCCCACGCACATGCAAAACCCTCGTTGCAGTCGAGTGAATTCCAGGACACGTACATCCGTCCCTGAATTCCTTCTCTTTTAGTATTTTCTTGTCTGAGTTTTGAATTGAAGTTCCTGCTCAATGCGTTGGGCATCTTCACTCGGTAAGTCCGTGCTTCCTTACGCAGCCTGCGGCTGTGCTGGAGGCGAAGGTCCGAGTCCGGGAGCTCCGAGCAGTTCCTGGGGGGCACTTCTGTGCTCTCTGGGATCCAGAGGAGTGAGTCTGGGACACGGAAAGCATGTCAGTGAGTCAGGACGGCCGCAGGCTGGCATTACGTGAGATACTCCAGTTACTGAATGTAGAAACACATGTGGGAAGGGTGGGAATCCTTGTGCTGCCGGAATGTTCGGGGGGGGGTGACTGCGTTGCAGCGCAGGGTTCCTCGCTGCCTGTTTTGTAAATGGGATCGTGGTGTGGGACCGGACAGCGATAAAACTCGGGCGGTGCGGGGCAGATGGAGTGAGGAGCAGCGTGTTTCACGAGCGCCCGCTGTAAAGAGGGCAAGTCCCTCGCTCCTGGGAACAGCACAGAGCAGCCGTAAAGATGTCCCTTTCCCCGCGGCACCGTGTCCAGGAGCAGCGTGTTTCCCTTCAGGCTGTTCTGCTGTTTGCTCAGATCCTGACCTGGTGTGCTCTTCCCGGAGGCTCCTGCCACGGCGTTCTGTGTCGCGAGCCTTGGAGCGGGAGATGCAGCCGGAGCCCCTCACTGCCATTCCCAACGCTCCGTCGCGTCGGTGCAGCTGAAGGCCGTGTCTGAAGTGCGGGCTCGGGGCAAGGCACCCGGGAATTCAGGTGGAGCAGACGGGGAGTCACATCACAGGGATGGAGGGGACGTGGGGCGGGCAGCTGGTAAGCCCCTTCGCCAAATCTCCCCGGCTCGCCCTTCCCACAGCCCACCTTACCCTGTCTGAGTCGAAGATCTCCCGAGGTGTGTTCCCAACCTCGCCCGTTCCGTACGGATCAGCTGACTGAGAAGGAGCCGGAATTCTGAGCAGGGTCTGTCCTGGTGTTTAGGCTGACTGGGGGAATTGTTGAATCTGGGATTATCCTGGATAAGGCACAGGGAGTTCTGTTGTTGCTGTAATGTCTCACACCATGAGAGTGAAAAGATGAAAGGTGTGGCACAAGGCAGATGGTTTTGCCCAAAGGCTGTGTGAGATCCCTGCCCGTTCCCCTCCGGTCGCTCGGGTCTGGACCGTTGGTTGGACGGCAGCGCAGCGGCTCTCCGCCGGTGCAGAGGGACGGCTTGGCAAGTGCTCTTCAAGCAAGGGATTTACTGCTTCCTGCAGGGTTTGTAATTTCAGCTGCTTACAGCATCCACTGGAATTGTTAAATATTCTACTTTATCGTGTTTAAAAATGCTGAGAAATGAGTACCAAATTCACAGTTTGACTCACTTCTTACTGGAAAATACGGAGTGTTAGGATTTAGAAAATGGGGGGGCGAGTCCTTTGCTGATTCCCACAGAATCATGGAATCACGGAACAGTTTGGGTTGAAGGGACCGTAAAGATTATCCAGTCCCAGCCCCTGCCATGGGCAGGGACACCTTCCACGAGCCCAGTCAGCACACGAACTCGTTTTGGGAACAGGGCTAACGTGGCTGACGATGCTTCTACACAACAGGGAGAACCATCTTCATCTCAAGCTCCATGTAGGACACAAACCACGTTGATGTGAGCCCCATGGAGGAGGGGAAAACATCACTGGGGGGAAAATAGGTTATTACAGGGTTCAGTGAGCGTCGCAGGGAAAAGCAAGGAGCGTAGGGACAGGAGGAGGTGGCAGGCTGTTTGTGCCCACCCCTGGAAACGCGGCGGCATTGCCGCGTTTTGGCTGGAGGCCGAGAGCGCTCGCTCCTGCCCACGTACGCTGGTCGGCCAGAGGAGGTTTTTAAGGTGAATGAGAATGTCGGGGTCTCTGTACTGGGAACGTACAGTGATCCCGTAAGCCCCGGGGCAAAGGTTGGCACGCAGGAACTGCAGCTCTTGAATGAGATCCTGCTGCGATTTTCACTAGTGCAGAATGAAGCGGAATTGTCCAAGAGGCAGACTTTCTGCAGAGGTCCGAGTGACGTTTGGTGACAGTGCTGCTGGGGATCGAGCCAACAGTACTGCAACCTGAGCTACAGTCCCTCTGCGGGATCCCAGAGCTGCCCTCATCTTCACCTTTGGGAAGGGCCTGGTGGGCAGAGAGGGAGCTTTCCTGCCACGGCAGTCAGTTAATGAAAAGGGAACTAGAACTGCCTCAGGCTGGTGGGTTTATCCAGAATTTTCACAGAGATGCCTCTTAGCCCACAGGCTGTGCCCCTGGCAGGTGTTGCCTTTGAGACCCTTCTGTTTGCGCACCAGAGCACGTCTGTGGCTCGTGGACGTGTCCTGATCCTGACTAATCCCTTTGAGTCTGGAAACAGCCGTGACAGGTTACGGAGCGGCCGAGCTGAGAACGCTGGGCATTGGTAACGCTCGCGTCACGTGCGTGTGCCGGATGAGGTGATCCGGCCCGCGGCGATGCTGATAAACCACTTTCTCTAGCCCTGACAGCTGCTGCTGGAAGAGGAAAGCTGGACGTCTGCGAGCTGCTGCTTGGCCACGGAGCGGTTGTGACGAGAGCTAATCGGAGAGGGACTCCCCCGCTTCTCTGTGCCGTTCGGCACGGGCACTGGCAGGTCTGACACATCTCCCAGACTCCTGGGTTCCTTGGGAGTGGGCCGCACATCCTCCCATCTCTAGTCCCGTGATAAATCACTGCAAATGTCCTGATAGGCGTTTGCATCAAGTTCAGGTGGCGTGTTCGAGTTACTTCTTAAGCTGTCTGAAGTGGTTCTAAAGCACGTTGGCCGCGTGACAGCCCTGGTTGTAGTACACTGAAAAATAAAACGTGGGAGTTAGAGTGGTTCTTCCCTAGACCAAGAACAGCGGCAACTTCAGATCCCTTGTACCACTTCTCTGGCCGTGGAGAGGGAACCTGATGGTCCGGGGCCGTCCCGTGCTGGCCGCTCCTGCCGCAGCACCCACATCCAAGCAGCCAGGGCTTGCGTGGCGCAGGGTTTCTCAGCGAGTGCCCTCCCGGGTTTCTCAGCGAGTGCCATGCCGGGTTTCTCAGCGAGTGCCATGCCGGGTTTCTCAGCGAGTGCTGTAGTTAACACTCCGTCCTCTTCTCTGCGAGTTCGGCTGTTGTGGCTAAACTTTACATCTGCCAGACTACAGGATCACCCAACCGTTTGGGTTGGAAGGGGCCTTAAAATCATCTCATTCCAACCCCCCTAATAAATAGCAATTGACTTAAACCCCGAAATAAATAGCCATTTATTTTGAGGTTGCTGTGTTCCGTTTCAGGTTGCTCAGCTCCTGGTGGCGCACGGCTCTGACGTGAACGAGAGTGACAGGCAGGGCCGAACGCCACTCATGGTGGCCTCGTGCGAAGGGCATCTGAGCACCACGGAGTTCCTGCTCTCTGCAGGTAGGACGTGAAGAGCAGCCCAAGGCTGCCGAGCTGCGCCACGCGGCGTTTCGGTGCGTTAGGTCCCTTTGCTGGTTGCGCAGGAGTAGCGTCGCAGCAAAGTTAACTCTTGCTCTGCAGGTGCAACCATTTCGTCTCTGGACAAAGAGGGCCTGTCAGCCTTGAGCTGGGCGTGTCTGAAAGGCCACAGGGAGGTGGTGCAGTACCTAGTGGAGAACGGTGCGGCCACCGACCAGACGGACAGAAACGGGCGAACGCCCCTCGACCTGGCAGCGTTCTACGGAGATGCCGATATTGTAAGTAGAACTGACAGTGCGTGTCGGTGGTTGTACAGGGGCACTCACCGCAGCGCGTTTGAATTGTCATAGAATCATAGAATGGTTTGGGTTGGAAGGGACCTTAAAGATCATCTAGTTCCACCCCCCCTGCCATGGGCAGGGACACCTTGCACTAGACCAGGGTGCTCAAAGCCTCATCCAGCCTGGCCTTGAAGCCATCCAGGGATGGGGCATCCACAACATCTCTGGGCAACCTGTTCCAGTGCCTCCCCACCCTCTCCGTGAAGAATTTCTTCCTGACATCTAATCTAAACCTCCCCGCTTTCAATTTATACCCATTACCCCTTGTCCTATCACTACAGGCCTTTGTAAAAAGTCCCCTCCCAGTACCCTTGTAGGCCCCCTTCAGATACTGGAAAGCTGCAATGAGGTCTCCTCGGAGCCTCCTCTTCTCCAGGCTGAACAAGCCCAGTTCTCGCAGCCTTTCGTCATAGGAGAGGTGCTCCAGCCCTCTGATCATCCAGCCCAGGATAGGGTTGGCCTTCTGGGCTGCCAGCGCACACGGCCGGCTCATGTTCAGTTTTTCGTCCATCAGTTTGTCGTAGTGCAAACCCAAGCCTAGGGAGACTGCTGCCAGCGGGAATAGGCAGGCAGGAAGGTGGGGGAGGTAGCCAGGGCGCCCGCAGTGCCAGCGGCGTGGCTGCAGTGCACGTGCTTCCTCAGCGAAGCTTTTCCTGGCTAAGGTTTTTGTACCGCGGCCATGGTGAGGCCCCGCATTACGCCGCTGCGTTTGACAGCGTCCTGGTGTGCTTCACTGTGTGTGTTACATCTCCATAAAAAGTACCATTTACAGTTTCTGCCTTGGGTGACCTGGAATTTCAAACAGGAGAAAGAAAAGCGTGTGGGGCGTGAAAGGAAAATGTGTGTTTCCAGGCCATATAAACCCACTGAGGTTACCTGAGGGGGTCCAGTCGGTTGGGTGTTGTCGGCAGAGACCCCGAGTGGGAGTCGTAGGAAGAACAGTAGTGCCAGAACAGATGGAACGCAGAAAGACTCGGCTGTTTCAGCATGAGGCCACGTTCTCGTGTTCGATAGGTGTCGGGTGCCTCGCGTGTCGGGGGTCTCGGGAATCCTTACGCCTCTCGTTGCGAAGGTGGCCCGAGCACATCGCGGTGTTACTGTCCAGCCTGTGGCTGGGGAAGGTGTAAATTCAGTTTTTCTCAGTCTGTGCCACAGGTCGTCTCAGAAATAGGGCGACTACAGTGCCTTTCTCAGTCCTGTGCCTTTCTCACATACTCGCTTTATAATAAATGTTACAGGGTAAGAATTTAAGGCGTTTTCAGTGAGGTTTTCTGCATCTGAACTGGACCCTGCCTGTACCTGAGCCCAGAAGTATGTACTGAGTTTGTGATTCAGGATCCTCTGGGTCTTTAAAAGCACAGCTTTTGGAAGTGATCGTCTACCTTTGTTCTCACGCTTCAGAACTTGGTGCTGGAGCACCTCTCAGAAGCCTCACTGGATGCCGTTGCCGCAGGCTGCAGGGAAGGACATGCTCAGGTCTGCGTGCCCTGTAAACACATCCCGGAGTTCGTAGGCAACTAGGAGTAGCACACGCAGGCTCTCAACTTGCTCGCGTCCCTATTCCTGGAGTCTGCGTGCGCAGCGTCCTGCTCCGGAGCAGCAGCTCTGGAATAAACCAGCCTGCAGACGGTGTAACTTGCTGCAGCACTTAGTCCCCTCCGCCCCAGTCAGAATTCCCGCGGGGCTGTGGAGCCCTCGGGTTGTGCACTGGTGTTAGTCTCCGAAGTCACATCACGGAGCTGTTCCTACTGCTGGAAGCGTACCCAGGTAACACCGGATTCCGGAAAGGGGACTTCTTTCCTGCTTGGAGATGGGGGTATCCAGACTCCCGTGCACACTTCCGCTGCCGGTTACTGCTCTGGGGCAGGACAGGCTGGACGTCAGCGGTTCACGTGGCCGAACAGCCCGGCCTTCGTGCCAGGACCACACAAAGCTGCGCTCATACCAGTTCAGCGCCCGCTCGGCAGGCAGCAGCTCTGGGCCGGGGGGGGCCTGTCAGGGGGAATGGGATTCCTCTTCCCATACTGCGCATCGCGTTCGGGCAAGCAGCGGTCATGGGAAAGAGCCTTTGCTGCACCCAGCCTGCCATCGCTGCCCTCTCCTCGATCCCGCACTTGCAGTGAGTGCTGCTGCTGGGCGGCTCGGGTGCTCTGGATGCTTGGTCCGTGCTTGGTGAAGTGGATGCTGTTGACAGGACAAGGGGTGACG